CGCGCGAGGCCGAGGCGCGGGCGGCGTCCATCCTCGTCGAGGCGGAGTCGCGCCTCGCGACCGAGCGCGCACGCGCCGCTCAGCTAGAGGGGAGTGCGGCCGACGCCCGCTGCGAGAAGGAGGCGGCCCTTGCCGCCAACGAGCTGCTCGGCGAGCGGCTGCGGGCGGCGGCGGAGGCGGAGACGGGCGCCGTCGCGCTGGCGCGGCGCAAGTACGACGAGGTCGCGCAGTCCGTCGCCGCCGCCAAGGAGGAGCTCCGCGCGGAGGAGCTCGCGCGGCAGGCGGCCGAGGCTTGCCTCGCTTCGGCACAGGCGGCCGCCCTCGCCGACGGGCGGGCGCAGGCGGAGGCCATCGCGCAGCTGTCGGAGCGGCTGGCCGGCTCGGAGGAGCGGGCGGCGGAGGCGGAGACACGGGCGGCGGAGGCGGAGGAGCGGGCCGTCGACGCGCAGGAGAGGTCCGCCGAGGCGGCGGCAGAGGCGGCGGAGGCGCAAGCCAAGGCCGAGTCGCTTCGGTCCGATCTCGAGGACGCGGCCGCGGCGCGGCGGGCGGCGGAGGAGGCGGCGGCGGAGGCGGAGGCGGCGGCCGAGGAGTCGGCGGCGTTGGCTGAGGCGGCGGCCGAGGAGGTGGCGGCGGCGGCGGCGGCGGCGACCGCCGCGGCGGAGAAGAAGGCGGCCGAGGCAGAGCTGGCGGCAGAGCAGGCGCGCGCCGAGGCGGCGCAGGCGGCGGCCGAGGCACAGCTGGCGGCGGCGGAGACGCGCGCGGCGCGCGCCTCGGGGCCCCGCGCCATGGAGCCCCTCGCCGCCGCTCCGGAGGAGGCGCGCGGCGCCTCGCTTGCCGAGGCGGTCGCGCACGCCGTCGAGGCGGCGGTGGGGCACACGCAGTCGGTCGCATTTGTGGACAAGTGCCGCACGCTGGACGAGGTCATCGAGGCGACGCGCGAGGCGGCGGCGAGGGAGAGCGCCGCCGAGGCGGCGGTGCTGCGCAACGAGCTCTTTGCCGAGGCGGCCGCCCGCTCCGCCGCCGAGGAGGAGGTGCGCTCGCTCAAGCGGCAGCTGGCCGAGCGGCGCGCGTCCGGCTCCGCCGGGCTGCTCCCGGCGGCGGAGGTTGAGATTGTCGCGTCGATGGCGGCGGAGGCGGCGCGCAAGAATGGCGGCGAGGAGGGCCGGTCGGGCGACCTCTCGCGCCGCCTCGACGATCTCCGCGCCACGGTCGCGGAGCAGCGCGCGTGCCTTGAGCGCGTGCGCGCAGCCGGCGACGAGACCGCGGCCGCGCACGCGGCGCTGGCGCAAGAGGTGGTGACGGCGGCCGCGGCGTCGGCGCCGGCAAGCCGCATCGAGAAGCTCGAGGCGCGCCTCCAGACCATGGCGGACCGCTCGGCCGCGGCGTGGGACATGATGCGCCTCCTCTCCGCCGCCACGGCGGTCGGGGGAGGCGGCGTCTCGCAAGAGCCGAGCGATGCGCGGGCGAGCTGCCCCGTGTGCAACCCATAGACAAGCCGGCGAGGGGCGCGAGCTGGCAACGGTGGGGATAGGCCTGAAGCGCGCCGGGCCGGATCGCACATATCGAGAGACTTTACTCGACGAGTAGTGCGCTACCTCGCCGTGGGCGGTTGCTTTTAAGGTGAGGTGCGCGTGCGGTGGCGGACACGCCGCTTACGGAGGACAGACAGGACACGAGTGCTCGACTTAGCGGGGCTGCCAGTTTCGGAAACGTGTGTTGTAATCATCTGAAGAAAAGAGACCGTGGAGTCGCAGAGAGCTCCTGCTCGGGGGGGCTCGGGCTCGCGACCCTCGGCCTCGCGCCCCCGGGTCGCTCGTGCGTACGTGTACGGCTTTTGTTATATAGCGTAGAGCCGTAAGCCCCTAAGCGGCCACATCGGCGCCTCGCCAGGCCAGCGGCTCGTGGTCTCCGTCCGTGAGCGGTGACGTGTGGCTGCGACTCGGTGGCGCTGCTGGTGCAGCTGGCGACATCGTTTCTTTCAAGGGTTAGTTCCACTCATCTCGTCATTCTACACGAGCGGTTGGACCACGGCCTGCTGAGAAACCAGCGAGATCCCGAGGTGCCGATACTCCCACCCGTGCTCTGCGACCGCCTCCTGAAAGGCCATGTACTCGTCCTCCTCCCAGTGCGGGTTCATCACATACTCGTCCAGAACAATCACGCTGCCCGGACGGAGGCGCCCCGCCACCGCATCAAGCACGTCCTTCGCCGAGGAGTAGAGATCGCAGTCTAGATTCATCAGTCAGACCCCTTCAGATCGCCTTGGACATGCCAGAGCGCTACTAAAAAGTTTTGAGCAAAAATATTCTCTGTGCCGAGGCGGAGGGCGCCGCGGAGCTGCGCCGCTGCCTCGCCCTCTCGCAGTGGCGGGAGGGGTCGGCGGCGGGGCGGTGCCGCATGGCGTGAACCCGGCCACGGCCATCTCGCTTTTCTTGCCCGGGACCTGTGCGCTGTGGCTCTGTAGACTTTAGTCTTCACGACGCACATTTGACTGTCAGTGTACGCATGTATGATGTAATGAAAAAGCTAGAACAGGCAACACGCATGAAAATGGGCGGCGCATCTCCTTGACAATGCGTGACCGCCGTTACTGATTAAAGTGGTGGTAAGGTTGGGGCTGGGGCCTTGCCCCTAGGAGAGGTGGGTGGGTGAGGGTCTAGGTGGTATGCTAGTCACTAAGGTTGGAAACCCGCCTTCGCGATCGCCACCTTGTTGTCGGCGTTGTCGGCGAGCTTCCGCAGCGCCCCCGCGGCATACCTCTTCTGCCCGTCCGTGCCGTCGCGAGCCAGCGCCACCAGCGGCGCGATGCCGCCCGCCCTCGCGATCGCCACTCGGTTGTCGGCGTTCTCGGCGAGGTTACCCAGCGCCACCGCAGCGATCTGTTTCTGCCCGTCCGTGCCGTCGCGAGCCAGCGCCACCAGCGGCGCGATGCCGCCCGCCTTTGCGATCGCCGCCTTGTTGTCGGCGTTGTGAGCGAGGTTAGCCAGCGCCGCCGCGGCGTTCTCCTTCTGCCCGTCCGTGCCGTTGCGAGCCAGCGCCACCAGCGGCGCGATGCCGCCCGCCCTCGCGATCGCCACCTTGTTGTCGGCGTTGTTGCAAGCGAGGATCGCCAGCGTCCACGCGGCACACACCTTCTGCCCGTCCGTGCCGTCGCGAACAAGCGCCACCAGCGGCGCGATTCCGCCCGCCCTCGCGATCTCCACCTTGTTGTTGGGGTTGTGAGCGAGGTTACCCAGCGCCACCGTGGCCATCTCCTTCTGCCCGTCGACGCCGTAGAGGGCTCCGCCGACACGGACAGCGACGGCATCTAGGACGGCATCCCCGACGCCATGGACCCCGACTCGGACGGCAACGGGCTGCCCGACGCCGTCCGTGCCGTCGCGAGCCAGCGCCACCAGCGGCGCAACGCCGCCCGCCTTCGCGATCGCCACTCGGTTGTTGGCGTTCTCGGCGAGGTTGGCCAGCGCCCCCGCGGCCTCCTCCTTCTGCCAATCCGTGCCGTCGCGAGCCAGCGCCACCAGCGGCGCGATGCCGCCCCCCTTCGCGATCGCCACCTTGTTGTCGGCGTTCTTGAGAGCGAGCCCCCCCAGCGCCCTCGCGGCCGCCGCCTTCATCGCGTCGGTGCCACAACGAGTCAACGCCACAAGCGGCGCGATGCATCCAGCAACATAGAGCGGCAGGACCAACAAGCACATGGCAAGCACTACGGAGCACCGGGGGCGCCCCGCCTCGTCCACCTCTGCTGACGCCCCTCTGCTCCATGACAGCCGGATGACGCCGACTGCAATCGCCCGCGCGTGCTCCTGCTTCGCCTTGCGCGCCGCCGCCACCGCGCTCGCGGTCTGCAGCGCCGCCACCTTCAAGCGGTGGCCCGCGCCCGCCTTGGCGTCATTCTCCGTCTCCCACGCGGTCAGCTCGGCCTCCGCGCGCGCAGCCGCCGCCTCGCTCGCCGTCAGCTCGTCCTCCAGTCGTCGCGCGATGCCGCCAAATGCAGCTTGCACCGTCGCGTCGAGCGCCTTGATCTTCGGCAGCTGCCCCTCCTTGTCGTTCTCGTTGGTCACGGTGACGTCGGGCTTCGAGAGGAAGGCGTGCGCCTGCTGCGGCGTCTGGTCCGCCCAATTGTCGACCAATGCCTTGGTGTAGAGCGTGGCCTGCGAGGCGGCGTTCTGGATGCAGACGATGTGGTGCCGCTCGTTCTTGGTGCCAACCGCCGGCTTGAGGCCGTCAGGCGTCGCAAACTGCAAGGCGATCACGAAGCTCGAGAGGACGACTTCCACCTATCATGGCGCGCAGCTCATCATCAATATCTCCGCAACGCTCATGCCCGTCTTCCTTGAGATGCAGCGCACAGGAGGGCAGCCGCGAGGGCCGGTCTTTCTGACACGTGCTCCTGGGGGTCAGTATTCCGGCGTGCCCCAGTTTATGCCACTGCGGTCGTCGTCACGCGAGCTGCACCCAGAGATTGAGGAGGGCGAGGAGATCGACGATGACCGCGTCTTCCTCGTCGACAGCTTTGCACGCGACGCCGATCTCGGAGTCAACGACCAGGTGAGCGCCATGTTCGAAGACGCTCTCAGGCGCGATGGCGGGCGCAAGAAGGCGCTGCTGCTCGACATCACGCAGGCTAAGGTCTACGTGCCGACTGGCGTCTTTGACAAGGCGGAGAAGATGCAGAACGACTTTCCAGCTCTGCACGTCCTGGTCTACTGCGGCAGAGGGATTGTTGTCCGTTTTTCGCGGACGGCTACGCAGAACGCGGCCCTCGCGGACGTGAAGAGCACTGTCGCTCCCGGCAGTGGCCGTGTGATTCTTCCTCCGCGGTGGTCTTCGTCGATTCCGCGGCCGCAGAGCGGCGGCCGCGAGAGCTGTGCCTGGCGCACCGACGCCAAGCAGATGTGGGGCAAGGCAGGCAACGGCTTCGACGACAAGGGAACGACGATCGGGTGCGTCCTCTAGCCTTGACTCGCGCACGCACTGTCCTCACGCAGCGCGTGTATACCGACCCTGCAGGCCGGGCCACCTTCTGTCCGCGGGCTTGCGCACACGGGTTGCTAGAATTGAGGAGGTGCTCGCCGCTGTGGAGTCTGTCCTCGAGCTCACCCGCGGGGAGAATCGTGACCATGCGGATGATGCGATGGCCGTCTTTGGCTACACGATGATGGCGCGTGGCAACTCCTTCGTTACCGACTCGCGCGTTCCGACGCATCTCGTGCTCGCCATGAAGCCTGGGGCAAGCATTGACTTGCTGGTGCAGACGGCAGGGCGCGCGACCTTCTTGCGCAGGTCGATCTCGGAGGAGAACGGATGGGTCGAAGGCCAGACAGGGGTCGTTCGTGTGCTCATGCCCGAGCTTGACTATCGCGTCGTGCAAGCCTACCCTGACCTCGTTGACCAGGTCAACGAGCACCTTCTGAAGGGCACGTCGATCAACGAGATTTTCAGCCCGGACACGACGCTGCTAGAAGAGAAAGTCAGGAACGACCTAGGGCTGGCTGCACTCGCATCCAGCAAGCGCATTTTTGGAGACAGGCGCAAGCGATACGGCAAGGCCTTTCTCGGGCACGACGCCGACGAGTCGGTTGAGCACAGCATCGACGCAGATCTGCGCCGGCTTGACCTTCCCAAGAAGCAGGACACTATTTGGTTCGATGGTGGCGCTCACGGTGGAAAAAAGTGGTTTGAGACCCATGTGGTCGACGTTCGGTACGACCCAACGTGGGATCGAGATGGCGACGTTACGTCTGACCACATTGAGTACAAGCTCAGATGCTGTGATCGTACCATTCCCGACTTCAATGATGGCCACTGGCTCTTGCTCGCAGGCGATCAATGGTGCTGGCACGATTCGGACATTCCACGCGGCCATGACAAGCATGTCCCGCAGCCAGATAGATCAGGTGGCGATGACGCTCAGGGCGCGACCCCCAGACCGGGTCCCAGTGCTCAGGGCATGGCGCAGGCGCTCGAGGCGTCGGAAGGACGGTCGCAGGAAGCAGACAATCGCAACCTGGCGCAAGGCATCGAAGAGTCGCTCCGAGCGCCACGGTCTCGCACTCGGCCAAGGCCCCCTCCGGACGCCAGCGATACCGTTGACGAGCAGAGCTCTGGATCATCCGCGGCACCTAGCAGGCGCCGGACAAGGTCTACCGACTCCCCCGTACCGCAGCATAATCGCCGGCGAAGCGACGACCCGCTCGACATGGCAGACGTGGCTATCACTATTCCGCAGATGCAGACGATTTTTGAGCTCAGGCCTGGTGGTACGAAGCTGACGAACTTGCTTCGCGCATGCGGCGCTGTTTCCCGCGGTACCCTTGACGAGCTAAAGGCCGCTTGCGAAGATGCTTGCCGCAATGGGCGGCTTCGCAGTCGTCACTTCCAACAGCTCACCAAAGGAGATTTGAAGTGGCTTGTCAACCAAGCTCTCGGAGGTGACGACGAGAACGATGGCATGTCTGTCGCTGAGCTGGCACACAAGTTCGTCGAATATCTACGAGACTGACCAAACAGTTCGTGCTAGAAGCGCCTCCTCTCTCGGTTCTCTCTGCTCGCACGCCGTCTACTGACATGGCATGTGCATGTCGGCGCCACCAACCACCATCTGTCCGCGTACACACTCACTGTGTGTATGTAGGCCGTACTCAGTTCCCTTGTTAGTGTGCGTGTACGTACTTGTTACCATGATAGTCCCGGAGCAAACGGTGGCCCACGGCGTAGAAGTAGCACCCGACCCCGAGACTGTTCCAAAAAAGAATTTTACACAGTCCCGTGCCCAGTGCCATGCAAAAAAGAAAAACATGTCGCGTGTGGCCGCGCCTGGCCGGACGGCCCCGCAGCGGCTCTCCGAGCGCTCTCCCGAGCGCTCTCCGCCGTCGCCGGCGGCCCAGTAGCAGAGCTGCTGCTGCCACGCGTGCACACGGCCCTCTCGCGCGACATCGGCGCCTCGCCAGGCCAGCGGCTCGTGGTCTCCGTCCGTGAGCGGTGACGTGTGGCTGCGACTCGGTGGCGCTGCTGGTGCAGCTGGCGACATCGTTTCTTTCAAGGGTTAGTTCCACTCATCTCGTCATTCTACACGAGTTGGACCACGGCCTGCTGAGAAACCAGCGAGATCCCGAGGTACCGATACTCCCACCCGTGCTCTGCGACCGCCTCCTGAAAGGCCCTGTACTCGTCCTCCTCCCAGTGCGGGTTCATCACATACTCGTCCAGAACAATCACGCTGCCCGGACGGAGGCGCCCCGCCACCGCATCAAGCACGTCCTTCGCCGAGGAGTAGAGATCGCAGTCTAGATTCATCAGTCGGATTGGCCCGGGGTTCGCCTGCGCGCGCGGCACGGGGCGGCGTGACGGGTGTCGACGGAGGGGGGGGCGAAGGAGGCGGGGCGGGGCGGGGCGGGGCGGGGCGGGGCGGGGCGAGGCGAGGCGAGGAGGCGAGGAGGAGGGGAGAGGCGAGGAGAGGGGAGGAGGGTGCAGCGAGGAGGGGTCGGGAAGAGGAGAGGGGCGCGATGCGGAGGGGCGGAGGGGCGGAGGGGAAGAGGAGGGCCTCCAGGAAGGCTGGCAGGGTGTCAGCGAAGAGTCCGACGTGGTACTGCACGTTGTCGGGCGCCGGAGGCAGCGTGCCTACGTGCTGAAGACACCGGCCTCGGGGCGGGAAGACGGCATTGAGCAGTGTGTGTTTTTGCACCGCGTGAGTGCGAGGGGTACGAATGCAGTGAGTCCGGCCGAATACGGCCGAGGACGGCGGAGTAGCTATCCTCTCGAGCGCTGGTTGGAAGGCTTCATTGCGTGATCCGCTTCTAGGGCCGCTCGCCGTGCGTTGAGTAAGCGCCCGCCCTCGTCGAGTGCCAATCCTGAGGAGGGGTGGCAACTGCATTTGCGGAGCTACCTGGAACTACCTGATCTGGTTGCTAGCCCTCGTTCCAAGTGTGATCTTCGGCGTATCAGGCCCCGCAATCAACCATCCGTTCGCTCTTTCTCCCGTGCTTACGTCACGTTGGACCGACACGGCAGTGGGGTAACCTCTCCGATCTTCGAGCCCACAAGGGGCGAGCGGGGGCGCCCACCTCAGGGATGCCCGAGAAGGTGTCGAAGCCGTGCACCTGCTGAGATTACCCGAGGTTACCCGAGACTACCCGAGACTACCCGAGATTACCCGAGAATGTGTCGAAGCCGTGCGCCTGCTGACGCGGGGCGGCGTGAAGAGACGCAGTTGATCCGCGCCCGCCTGCTCGTTCTCGACTGTCCGTGCGCGTTCTCTGGGCCCTGGGCTGCGCTGTCGTGTGGAGACGCGAGGGTCTGTCGGCTCCTAATCCTAGTAGCTCGCTAGTCTAGAGCTCACACTAGAGGCCGTCATCGCCTTCGCCTTGCTGGGACCCAGTGCCTTCTGACTGCCGCCGCTGTCTCTCTCCCTTCTCGACTGCCTGTGCTTGTGCGTCTTGGGCCCCGGGGTAGTGCTTTCGCGTGAAGAGACGCGCCGTCGTGAGGTCTAGCAAGTCTCTCTCTCTCTCTCTCTCTCTCTCTCTCTCTCTCTCTCTCTCTCTCTCTCTCTCTCTCTCTCTCTCTCCGTCCCTCCCTCTCCCTCCCTCCCTCCCTCCTCCAAGACAGCCGAGGCGGGCGCGCCGGGTCGTCGGGGAAGTGCGAGGCGATCATGCGCAGCGTCCTCCCGTGGTACACCCCAAACTCGAGCAGCAGGCCCGCCTCACTCTGCATGTCAGGGTTAGGGTTAGGGCTAGGGTTAGGGTTAGGGTTAGGGTTAGGGTTAGGGTTAGGGTTAGGGTTAGGGTTAGGGTTAGGGTTAGGGTTAGGGTTAGGTCAGGGTTAGGGTTAGGGTTAGGGTAGGGTCAGGGTGGAGGCACGGGTCTCGGGACTGGTTGATGGGCGCCGACGGCCCGAGGACCAGGCCCTCGCCTCCGCGTGCGCGGAGCGGAGCGCGAGCTGCAGCATGTCGTGGGTAAAGTAGTGCACGCTCGGCGCCATCGCCACCGGCCTACGTGGGTGAATACGCCGACATGAGGGCGGGAGCACACGGCATTGCGCGGCGTCTTCAGAGCACCGCGTGAAGACAGCGGAGAAGAAGACAGCGGAGTGCGTGTGTGAGTACAGCGGAGTGCGTGTCCTCCCGAGCCCTGGCTGGAGTACAAGAAGACGTGTTCAAGCGTCTAGGGCCACCGGCGTCGAGAGGACGTAGTCGACGCTCGAGAGCACCTGCTCACGCCTAGAGCTGTGAAGAGGACCGTGCCTCCCAGTCAGCGTCATGTCCCAGGCCATCTCGGGTCACCTCGGGTCATCTCGGGTCATCTCGGGTCACCTCGGGGCATCTCTGGTCATCTAGCGTCATCTCGGGTCATCTCCCGGTATCTCAGGCCATCTCGGGGCATCTCCCGGTATCTCAGGCCATCTCGGGGCATCTCCCGGTATCTCAGGCCATCTCGGGGCATCTCGGGTCATCTCGGGCCATCTCGGGGCATCTCGAGAGCACGTGAGTGGGCAGCTTGGGGCGCAGCGCAGCGGCGCTCTCGCTGTCGCCCGCCCGCAGCAGGCCGTGCATCAGGTGCAGCGCTGCGTTCTCGTCGTGCTCGTCCTGGGACAGGGCATCCCTGTAGAAGCCGGCCGCGGCCGCATGCTCTCCCATCGAGTCGGCAGCAATTCCCGCCAGCAAGGCAACTGGCGACGGCCCCGCCTCGCACGCCTCGCGGTAGGCGCGCAGCGCTTCGGCGCGCTTGCCCAGCCCGCTGAGCCGCAGGTTGGCGAGGGCCAGCTTCAGCCGAGAGGCCGCCGGCTGGTCCCGCGTTAGCAGATCGCAGAGCAGCGCCTCGGCCTCGCTGTCGAGACCCATCTCGGCCAAGACATCCGCGAGGGCGCTCTTGGCGCCGTCGTCGGCCGGACAAAGCTCGACGGCGCTCGACAGGGAGGCCGCCGCCAGCGAGAAGTCGCGAAGCCGCTTTGCCACCAGGCCGTGATTCAAGAGCGCCTCCGCGTCGGTCGCGTCCGCTTCCACCGCGTCGCGGAACCGTCCAAGTGCCTCCTGTAGTTCGGCGAGGCTGGCCAGCGGCGGCGGCGGGACGAGCGCCGACATGCATGGTTGAGCGGAGCGATGGCAGGGTCGGGAGAGGAGAAACAGGAGCATTTCAGAGCGGTCGGCTTACTCGCACAGCGAGCAAAAAGAATTTTGAGCGATTAAGAAATGCTCTAATCCTAGGGGACCGTAAGCTAAAAGTACGTACCAGTGTGTACCAGCGGGGCTCGCGGCGCTCGTCAGCAGCATGAAGGAGAGGGACCACCAGCTGCTTTGCTTTGCAGTGGTGGGCCCGGTCCAACATGAGCCCACGCTTCGTTCAGCCACAACATCCATGCAAGCAGCCTGCACCTCACACCGTCTGTTCAGCTTCTACAACGACTCTGCTTGGGGGGTTGAGGCGGTTGCATCGCGTGCTTCATTTTACAGCGGCTACGTCGACGGTCATCCCGCCAATCAGCAGATGCTGCAACATGCATGGACCCGTGTCTTGGAAGGCTGCCAGGTAACTGGATGGTCGTGGCACTGGGTGGCAAAGCTGGACCCCGACACCCTGCTTCGCCCAGATTCCTTGCTGCCATTTCTCCGCGACTACTCGCCATCGAAACCAATACTGCTGGGCGAGCAGGTGTGGGCAAATTCTCGACACATAGTACTCGGCGGCCAGCTGCTGGTGGCCTCCCGCGCAGCGCTGCGGCGCTGGAAGCCATCGGCCCGTCTGAGCCCATTGCCAGGGCAACGATGGCCCCAGCCAGAGTGGTGGAAGGCAGAAGACGTGTGGATGTCAATGTACATGGCACGGAACGGTGCACAGCTATTGGTCCCGCCTGCACTTCCTGGCTGCGCTTGTGTGGTAGATGGGCGATCCTTCACGTGCGGCAACCGCCTATTTGGCAGGGTCCACCATGTTCACGAGCCAGGTAGCGTGATTGGCGTCGGCGGTGGCATCCTCGCGGTGCTGGGCAACAGGTCGCTCCTCTGTGCTCACGAATGCGCTGCCGCCGTCCATCCTCTCAAAACTCAAGCTGCTCAGGATGTGGCGCGTCGTGCCTTGGCCCACAACCGGTGTGAGCGAGCAGCGTCAGCTAAGCCTTCTCGGGCGCGGGCTGTGGGCGCGGCTCCTCGAAGCCTGGCCCTGGCCTTGCGCGACCCTGGGCATTCGGCTGCACGAGGCGTGAGCCCTTTTTTGGCGTGAACTTCTCCGCACGATGCGCCCGAAGCAAGGGTCGGCGCAAAGTTGGCTTCGTCACCCCGCCGACTTTCTCGCCACGAACCACGTCGAGCACTGCATCGACCTTCGCAGAGGGCGCCGATTCATTTTCAGTAACGGCGTGCCACCGCATGATGTGCCGCTTACTCCTGGACGCTTCAGCCCGTGTGTTCATCGCTATGCTGTCGAGCTGCCACTGTGGCCTCGGGTGCAGCCGGCAAAGGGCACGGAAACCCCAACCAACGGCCCAGCTGCTTTCACACTGTCCGGACTCCCCATGGTCGGGCAAGCACGGGCGGTCCTCCGCGGTATCATGGACGGGCCAAACACGTGGGCGGGCGAAAGCATCTCGCGGTCCATTGCGCCCTTCTGGTAAGCCCCCCCCCCCCCCCCTCTCACCAATCCCCCATCCCCCACCCCGACTACACACATCCCTCTCCGCCCCGCTCGCTGCGCTGCTCTGCAATTGCATAGGCACTACCACGAAAAGTCGGCCGCGAACGCTATGCTGAGCGGAGGAGTTGCTGGGCTTTGCCAGGGACGGCTTCCCCATCTTCGGGCCTCCTGAATCGACGACCAAACTTGACGAGTGCAATGGCCACTATGTGAATGAATGAGGTAGAGGGGGAGGATTTAGGGCTTGCTCGGGGCCCCGCTCCGGAGTTCATTAATAAAAAAGTTTCCACACTAGCCCCCTCACTCCCCCAACCCATCCACCTCGCACTATCTATCTCGCACTATCTCGGGCGAACGGTACCCGGGTAGTGTCACGGAAATGTCCATACGATCGTCCGAACCGCAGACACAACCGCTGAGGCCATGGTGGAGGAGACCGCGTATGAGGACACGTTTCGCGGCGAGGCCTTTCGGCTCGTCTACCCGCTTCACTGCCTCATCCTCGGCTCACTCCTCGCGCTGCTCACGGTCGGGCTGCACGACGACACCTTTGCTCCAATCGCCAAGGTGCTCCTGCTGCCCGCGATTGTTGAGTCGGTGCTGCGCGTGGTGCTGCACCACGCAGCTCGGTTTCGAGCCGATCGCCAGCTCGCGCAACGCATCGGCGCACGCGCCATGTGCGTCATGACAACGGCGTCCTGGGCGTCCTACTTCTGCATCGCCCGCGTGATGGAGGAGGGTCCGGCGGCGGGCCCGCTCGTCTCCGCGCTCGTGCCGGTGAATATGACGCTGTACCCACTGATGATGACCCTCTTCTTCCTCTCCCCCTCCCAGCGCGTCTTCGTCAACGCGGTCAGCGTCGCCGCGATCGCAGCAGCGCCACGGTGGTCGTGCCTGCGAGACCGTCCTCCTCTCGAGGGCGAGGCGGCGGTACACTTTCTCGCGCTCGGGCGCTCGGCGGCTAGATGATGCATGATATGCAGCCGTGCCTTCCGACCAGCTCGAGAGGCCACCTGCCTTCATGTGATGTGATGCTCAAAGCACCGTATTCCCGCCCCCTCACCGAGTAGTCCGGACCGAGTTGCGATCATGACGCAGGCTCGGCCTCTTCATCGCGCAGCCGATGGAGGGCACGCTGCGCTCCTTTGCCCAGGGCTTCCTCCACCACCGCGAGCAGGTGGAGGCGGGCAGCGGCGGCGGGCAGCACGGCGGCGCGGCGGCGGGCAGCACAGCGGCGGGCGGCAGCGGCGCGGCGGCGGCGGCGGCAATGCCCTCCCTCTTCGAGTCGCTCGCGCTCGCGACCGAGTACGAGCGGACGTGGGAGCAGCTGCACGTGCTCGGCTCGGGCCACTTCGGCAAGGCGGTCCTGCTGCGCCACCGCGAGTCTGGCAGCTTTGCCGTCGTGAAGCAGATCTGGGCGGGAGAGTAGCGAGCGCTAGCGAGCACACGCAGGGCAAGGCGAGACGCCTGAGAGGAGTGTTGCGCACACTCTCAGGCGGGGAATGTGCGGCACGACGGGGTGCGGCTCGAGAGGGAGGTGTCCGCGCTGATGCGGCTCCGCGACCAGCCGCACATCATCGGCTATCGGAGGCACCGGCCTCGCCGCCACCGTCTTCCCCCCCCGCCGTCGCATCAACCGTCGCCGCCTCCGCCCTCACCCCCACCTCCCACGCCACCGCCTCCATCGCCGCCACAACCACCCCCCTCACCGCCGCCGACGCCGCCACCACCCTCTCGCAGCTGCTTCCTGCGCGGCGACGTGCTGCACATCCTCACCGACTATGCGCCGGGCGGCACTCTCGAGGACCAGATCAAGCAGGCGAGGGAGGTGCGGGCCGCGGCATGGCGAGGGCGGCTGGAGGAGACTCCGTTCGCCCTCGAAGAGCTGCACTCGCGCGAGCGCGACTTCGTCGCCTCCGCGGCCCCGCCCTCTTTCCCGGCGGCACGGCTGCTGCGCTGGACCGCGCAGCTCGCCTCGGCGCTCTTTGCGATCCACTCGGCGGGCATCATGCACCGCGACGTCAAGCCGTCCAACATCCTCCTCACCGGCGGCCTCGACATCCTCCTCGGCGACTTTGGGCGAGAGGAGCCGAGAGGAGCCGAGAGGGGCCGAGAGGAGCCGAGAGGAGCTGAGAGGAGCCGAGAGGAGCCGAGAGGTAGCCGAGAGGAGCCGAGAGGAGCCGAGAGGAGGCCGGGAGGAGCCGAGAGGAGCCGAGAGGAGCCGAGAGGAGCCGAGAGGAGCCGAGAGGAGCCGAGAGGAGCCGGGAGGAGCCGAGAGGAGCCGAGAGGAGCCGAGAGGAGCCGAGAGGAGCCGGGAGGAGCCGAGAGGAGCCGAGAGGAGCCGAGAGGAGCCGAGAGGAGCCGAGAGGAGCCGAGAGGAGCCGCGAGGCAGCCGAGAGGAGCCGAGAGGAGCCGAGAGGAGCCGAGAGGAGCCGAGAGGAGCCGAGAGGAGCCGAGAGGAGCCGCGAGGCAGCCGAGAGGAGCCGAGAGGAGCCGAGAGGAGCCGAGAGGAGCCGAGAGGAGCCGAGAGGAGCGGAGAGGAGAACCGAGAGGAGCCGGGAGGAGCCGAGAGGAGCCGAGAGGAGCCGAGAGGAGCCGAGAGGAGCCGAGAGGAGCCGAGAGGAGAACCGAGAGGAGCCGAGAGGAGCCGAGAGGAGCCGAGAGGAGCCGAGAGGAGCCGAGAGGAGCCGAGAGGAGCCGAGAGGAGCCGAGATTGACCGAGGTTGTCCGAGATTAGGCTCTCGCGGGACGACTCGACCGCCGACTCGCTCCTCGCGCTGACGACGTGCGGCACGCCCTACTACATGAGCCCCGAGCAGCTCGCGTCGGAGCCGTACTCGTACCCCGCCGACTTGTGGGCGCGGGATTGCGTGCTGCTGGAGCTGCTCCGAGATGCGCCGGGATGAGCCGGAGAGGTGGGTGTGGCCCGTAGGCGCTGGGCTGCGTGCTGTTTGAGCTGCTCACTCTCGAGAAGGCCTTCGCTACTCTCGGCCGATCTCGCGACATCTCGGGGACTCTCGGGTAATCTCGGGTGATCTCGAGAAGGCCTTCGCCGAGGACTCCTATCCCGGACTTGTGAAGGCACGGCGGCCCGAGATCGCCCGAGATTGCGCGTGCAGTGGCAGCACCGAGAGGCAGCAGCAGGGAGGCTGGGGGGGGGCAGTGTGAGACCGACGACCGTGGTCTCTCCACACCTGCCCTCCTCCAGGCCGTGGCGCTCGAGTGGCGGCACGAGGGGGGGGAGGGCGCGCGGGCGGGAGAGCACGCGCTGTTCCTCGCGGCGAGCGCCGCCCGCGACGCCGACCTCACTCCCGCGCTCCTCTTGCTGCCCACTTTTGGCGCGCGGCCAGACCTCGGCTAGACCTCGGCTAGACCTCGGCCAGACCTCGGCCAGACCTCGGCTAGACCTCGGCCAGACCTCGGCTAGACCTCGGCCAGACCTCGGCTAGACGTCGGCTAGACCTCGGCCAGACCTCGGCTAGACCTCGGCCAGACCTCGGCTAGACCTCGGCCTGACCTCGGCCCTTCCCGCGGCAGGCGCGCTCTTGCACGGTGACCCGGCCGCGCGCACGACGCTCGCCGATTTGGCGGAGGCGCTGCGGCCGCACGTGCCGCCGCCCTGCGAGGCGCTCTTGGAGCCGCTCGTGGATGCGTCGCCGGCAGAGGAGGCGGAGAGCCGGCTTGCGGGAGGCGGATCGAGCCCGCGCAGCGAGCTGCGCCGGAGGAGGGCGGGGGCACGATGCGGCGGACCCGGCGCCGACGACGACGCGTCGCCCGTGTCGTCCGAGATCACGTGGCCGTCCGAGGAGTGCGCGGGGAGCTCGTCGACGGTGTCTGCTGGCGGCAGCGGCAGCGGGACAGAGGTGCAGGAGAGCTGCCAGTTTCACATGAGCATGGGCTGCGCCCCAACTCTTAGAGAATGCTGAGTTGGGGCGAGCGCCAGACCGAGCCGTGAGAGAGAGAGAGAGAGGGGGGGGGGGGGGGACGGTACCTCTTAGTCGCTGTCGAATGCAGAGAGCTCCTGTTACAGTTAGAGCTAGGACCTTAGTATTTTGTAATTATTAGTATGAATGACACCGTGTTGCTGAGTCGAAGTAACGGCTGACGACACAGACTCTCTGGGTCTGCGTGTTGAGCGCAAACTCGGTGCAGTCTCTCCCCCGCGGCGACCTCGGACCCGCCGCCGATCGCTGCTGCGCCAAGCTGCGCGGAGGGCTGCTCGCACTGCTCGAGAGCGGCGCGTGCGCGGCCTGCGAGCACACGGCGGACCAGCTGTGATCGTGTTCATGGCGCTCGCCCGCGGCGGCACGTCGCGGCTCCGTGCGCCTCCCGCCGCGGGGCGCTCTCCTCCCTCCACTGCCCACCGCCGTGCACTTTGCGGAGCGCCTCTCTGGCGCGACGTTCCGGATCACCGAGTCTGAAGACGGGTGTCAGCTAGTCGAGTGCGACGGCGTGGTATGATGTAACTTATTCGGACCCCCCCCTTCGCGGTTCTCGTTTTTCGTGCCAAACCAGCCGATCTTGGCCCGTCGTTCTCCGCTCGCGCCGGCCGCCCATGCGCTCGCGGGGCTGGCCGACGGCGCGGGCCTCTTGCTGATGGACCCAGCCGAGGTGCCCGACCAGTCGGAGTGGCGCTGACGCGCCGCGCGCGACCACCAGCCAGCTTTCCGGCCGGGCCGAGAACGGTGCCTCGAGAATGTAGACACTCCAAACAGTTGTCGAGTTTTTTCCCTCTTTTCGAGCGCCGCTGCTGCACACCCAGCCCACCAGTGATACTAGACGCACCAGATTCACCCCGTCGCGAGCTTGACCGCGACCCCGATGACCGCCCACAGGTGGCTGATCGCGGCTCCACTCATCGCTGCTTTCGCGCGCCTGCTCCACAGAGGGCTCCTGCGGCTCTCCCTCGTCGCGTGACCGCCGCCGACATCATGTACTCGGTCGTCCCCGCCGGCGCGGAGCTGCGCCACGTCGAATTCTTCGGTGGCTCGACCGCCGGCGCGCCCAACCTCGCCTCCTGCGCGCCTCACACCCAGTATTCACCTCGCGCGCGGCCGACAAAGTGAGCGTACGACCACCTCCCTCTCATGGGAAGATACTCACCTACGACATCAACCCTGTGGTTAAGCGCCAGTGCAGCTCGCGGGCGCGGGCGCACGACAGCAAGCTCTGGCGCACGCTGCAGCACGAGGGCATCCTCGAGACGCGTCTGGCCGACGTGACCGCGCCGGACGAGCTCGCTTACATCGAGAAGTTGGCCTCGAAGGCGCAGTCCGTGCTCGTGATCGACGACGGCGACCACACGGCCACGCCACTGATCGTGCACTTTGAGCTCCTTTCGCGCTTCGTCACGCCCGGCAGCTACTACCTCGTCCAGGACACGCGGCTCGACCGCACCTGCCGCGCGCAGATTGCGCTCAACAGGGACATGAAGCAGCAGCGCAGGAGCTGGCCGTACTGCAACCAGATCGCCGGAGCAAAGGGCGGCCCGGCACGCGCGGTGCGCTACCTTCAGTGCGCGTCTCCGAGCTTTTCCGCGCTCAACTTCGCACCTGACGTGTCTCGTGAGCCATGGGTCTTCACGCAGCACCCTGGAGGCTGGCTGAAACGGCGGTCGCCGGGTTGATGCGTCTCGTAATACTGTTGCCTCCACACTGTATTTGAGGGCGCTCCCGCCCGCTACACGCGGTCCAATATTACCTGAGATTACCCGAGATTACCCGAGATTACCCGAGATTACTCGATATCACCCGAGATCGCAAATAGTGTGCGTTTGTGTTTGTGTGTGTGCGTGTGTGTGTGTGTGTGTGTGTTTGCGTGTGTGTGTGTGTGTGTGTGTGTAAGTGCCCACACTCCCCGACTACACGAGGTCCAATATTACCTGAGATCACCCGAGATTACCCAAGATAACCCGAGGTACAGATCACCCGAGATCTCCCAAGATTACCCGAGATTACCCGAGGTTACTATCAGTGCGTGTATCTCTCTCTCTCTCTCTCTTTCTCTGTCTGTCTGTCTGTCTCTCCCTGTGTGTGTGTGTGTGTGTGTGTGTGTGTGTGTGTGTGTGTGTGTGTGTGTGTGTGTGTGTGTGTGTGTGTGTGTGTCCATGAGATAGGTCGGCCGACAAGTGTCAGACCCCCTGACCGCAGGAGCCCGAACCCTGGAACGAAACGTTCCGCGGTACCCGATGTCGTCCGACCCGTCCGCGCCCCTGGGCCCTGACGAGCTACTACACGAGGCGCTGTCGCACCTTCGCGAGGCCCTCGCGCAGGCCGAGGCGGCCCGCGCCATCGCAGAGATCTCGGCGGAGGCGGAGCGCGAGCGGTGCGAGGAGGCCAAGGCGGAGGCAGATCGGCTGCGGAGGGAGGCCGCAGAGGCACGTCACGAGGCGGAGCGGATGCGGGAGCAGTGCAGAGAGGCGCATCGGGCGGCACAGATTGCACAGCTGCTGACGGACCGCCAGACCGAGGCGCTCAGAAAGCTTGCCAGCGAGAATGCGTCGCTCCTTTCTCTGCTCTCGGGCCTCCCGTCGTTGCGATCTGCCGTGGCCAACGGCGCTGCGCCGCCCGCGAGCAGCACTTGGGGTAAGGCGCGGGGAGTGCTAGCTGCAGTGAGCCTTCGCTCGTCTGACTCGCCAGCGGAGCCAGCGAGGGGCGCGGCGTTGGCCACCGGCGGGTCCGAGAAGGAATAGGTGATACGGCTCTAGGTTCCACACGGCTCACGGGTGTACGTACTTCGTGTTACGTCAGAGCTCAGACACGTACCTGGTACGTGGTGCAACGTGAAAACCTACCTGTCCGTTCTCTCGACTGTGGTCTGCGTGATCATGGTCTGGGTTGTGCTCGAGTGCGTCGCCGGTACCCACGCGCACCGGGCCTTGCACTTTAAATGCCGTAGGGCTCCTGTCGTTAGACGTGGAGACGCGAGGGTCGCCCGCGGTCTGCAGTGTAGAGGTAAGGTGAGGTAAGGTAAACTTCTCCACACACACGAGGTGGTGGGGCAAGGGGGGGCAACCCTCGCGTCTCCACGTCTGACGACAGGAGCCCCACGGCATTCAAAGTGCAGGGCCCAGTGCGCGTAGGTGATAGTCCAGTGGGCCGCCCGCAAGGCGGCCTAGGACCGCCCCCTCGCCGCCATCTCCTCGCGCTCACGCGCGGCGCGCTCCTGCGAGATATGGGGAGATATGGGGAGATATGGGGAGATATGGGGAGATATGGGGAGATATAGAGAGTACCGCATCAAGGCCAGCGGGTTCGGTACTGTGGGGGGTGGGAGATGGGTCCGGGTACTGTGGGGGTATGGGCGGCGCGCTCCTGCGGCGTCTCTCGCGCCAGCGCCTCCGCCCTCGCGTCGGCGGCCGCCCTCTCCACCTCGTCGCGCCCCGCCTCGGCCGCCTCGGCGGCCTCGAGGCAAGTGGCGAGCCCCGCCCCCTCCTAGTACGGCACGGGTTCGGCACAGTTGCTTGCACGGGTGTGTCGCGAGTGCCTCGCAGGAGGGCGACGGCTGCAACTCGGCACAGTGCGTGGCCGCAGACGGCCGCCAGATCTCCCCAGATCTCCCCGGATCTCCCCAGATCTCGCAGACGGTCGCCGAATACGGGTCTTCTCGAGCGCTGGTCGGAGTACAACAAGTCTGCGTGCAGCGTCTAGCCGCCTCCTCCTCGAGATATGGGGAGATGTGGGGAGGTATGGGGAGAGATAAGGAGATGTTAGCGTCTAGCCGCCCCCTTCCTCGAGATATGGGGAGATATGGGGAGATATGGGGAGATATGGGGAGATGTCAGCGTCTAGCCACCCCCTCCTCGAGCGCGGCGGCGATCGCCTCTAGCGCGCGCTCGTGCTTCTGGAGGATCGACCACGCCATCAGCGCCGCGTACCGCGTCGTGTCCTGCGGGGAGATACGGGGAGATACGGGGAGATACGGGGAGATATGGGGAGATATGGGGAGATGCCAGTATCAGCGCCGCGTACCGCGTCGTGTCCTATGGGTTCGGTACTGCGGGGGTATGGGTGGCATGTGCGGAAGCGCGATGGACGGCCCATGATATATCTCCCCCATATCTCCCCCATATCTCCCCCATATCTCGAGCTGCATGGGCGGGCTGTCTGACATGGGCGATGGGCGGGCGGTCATATGAGACAGCTCCTGCTGCTTGCCCGCCGGAATCGGCGGCTGGCACCTGCGGGGGAGACAGGGGGAGGTGTGTGGGGGAGGTGTGGGGCGACCTGGGGAGAGAGGGCCCGAGTCGGCGGCTGGCACCGCAGCAGAATCTCGTTGAGCAGTTTCAGGTCTGCGTTTGCGCCGAGCGCCTTGCCGTACGCGCTCGCCTGCAGCTCGAGATATGGTGAGGCATGGGGGAGATATGGGGAGATATGGGGAGATCTGAGCTGTCGCCGCACACCGCTGCAGCTCGAGATATGGTGAGGCATGGGGGAGATATGGGGAGATATGGGGAGATCTGAGCTGTCGCCGCACACCGCTGCAGCTCGAGATATGGTGAGATATGGGGGAGATATGGGGAGATATGGGGAGATCTGAGCTGTCGCCGCACACCGCTGCAGCTCGAGATCTGGTGAGATATGGGGGAGATATGGTGAGATATGGGGGAGATATGGGGAGATATGGGGAGATCCCACCTCGGCGATGAGACCAGAGACGGCGACTACGGCGAGGCTGGAAATCTGGTCTGCAGACACGAAGACGCCCGGCTGCTGCGCCAGCTCCTCGTCGTACACCACCACCTGTGTTCACGGCGCGAGGTGTGAAGAGACGCCGTTCACAGCCAGCTCCTCGTCGTACACCACCACCTGTGTTCACGGCGCGAGGTGTGAAGAGACGCCGTTCACAGCCAGCTCCTCGTCGTGTGCGTATCGTGTGCACGCGGACATGTCGTGGGCGTGTCGTGGGCGTGTCGTGGGCGTGTCGCGGGCGTGTCGTGGGCGTGTCGTGGGCGTGTCGTTGGCGTGTCGTTGGCGTGTCGTGGACGTGTCGTGGGCGTGTCGTGGGCGTGTCGTGGGCGTGTCGTGGGCGTGTCGTGGACGTGTCTCGGACGTGTCGTGTGCGTGTCGTGGGCGTGTCGTGGGCGTGTCGTGGACATGTCGTGGGCGTGTCGTGGGCGTGGCGTGGACGTGTCGTGGGCGTGTCGTGGACATGTCGTGGGCGTGTCGTGGGCGTGGCGTGGACGTGTCGTGGGCGTGTCGTGGACATGTCGTGGGCGTGGTCGTGGGCGTGTCGTGGGCGTGGTCGCTCCCGATGCACGGCCACCTGCGGCTGCCCGTCGCTCACCGCCACCTCCCGCACGGGCAAGCCGAGTACGTACGCGCACAGCAGGTGGGACGCCTGCGGAGGTGCAGCCGAGGTGCAGCCGGGGTGCAGCCGAGGTGCAGCCGAAACCAGGGAGAGCCGAGTGGTTAGCCGAGAGAAGCCGGGGTGATGCCGAGGTGCAGCCGAGGTGCAGCCGAGGTGCAGCCGAGGTGCAGCCGGGGTGCAGCCGAGGTGCAGCCGAGGTGCAGCCGAGGTGCAGCTGCGGTGCAGCCGAGGTGCAGCCGAGGTGCAGCCGAGGTGCAGCCGGGGTGCAGCCGAGGTGCAGCCGAGGTGCAGCCGGGGTGCAGCCGGGGTGCAGCCGAGGTGCAGCCGAGGTGCAGCCGGGGTGCAGCCGGGGTGCAGCCGGGGTGCAGCCGAGGTGCAGCCGAGGTGCAGCTGCGGTGCAGCCGCGGTGCAGCCGAGGTGCAGCCGAGGTGCAGCCGAGGTGCAGCCGGGGTGCAGCCGAGGTGCAGCCGAGGTGCAGCCGAGGTGCGGCCGAGGTGCAGCCGAGGTGCGGCCGAGGTGCAGCCGAGGTGCAGCCGGGGTGCAGCCGAGGTGCAGCCGAAACCAGGGAGAGCCGAAGCACAGCCGTGGTCAGCCGAGAGATAGCCGAGGTGCAGCCGAGGTGCAGACGAGATGCAGACGCCTCGTGCTTGCACACGCGCTGCAGCGCGCCCCGCCTGGCCTCCTCGTCGGCGGTCGCCTTCTTGAACGCCTCAATCGGCAGGAAGAGGATGCCTACACGTGGTGAACCTCGGGTGATCTCGGGCCATCTCGGGTGATGAATCTCGGGTGATCTCGGCAGGAAGAGGATGCCTACGTGTGGTGAATCTCGGGTGATCTCGGGCCATCTCGGGCACTCTCTGGCAGAAGAGGATGCCAGGCGCGGTCGAGCCAATCGCGAGGATGCCGATCGGCACGCCCGCAAGGAGGTACGTCCCGGTGAAGCGCAGGCCGGCGTCGAGGCCGAGCGCGTCGCTCCCGGCCGCCCACGCGACCGCTCCCACTGTGCAGCCCACGACCACCTTGACGAACGTGTCCTGGATGTCCTGCAGACTGTACTCGGTGGCCGTCGGATCGAGCGCGGCCTCCGGGATCTTGGTCGTGCGGCTGAGCTCTCCCAGCGATACCGGCCGCGGCGAAACCTTGGCGCTCTTCCACAGCGAGGCAGCGCCGGCCGCGGAAAGCTCCTCCAACGCAGCAAGGTTGGCCTCGCGCGGAGCACCCTCAACGAGGCGCGACCAGTCAGCGGCAGCGGCGGCACACGGCGGCGCAGCTCGCGAGGGCGCCGGCGTGGGGCGAAGCAGCAGGGCGGGGAGCAAGGCCGGTAACTGCAGCAGCATCTCGTGTGCGGGACTCGCTGGAAGATGGCCCGCACGCCCGATGCCGGAAGCGTGTTCCTGGTATCTAGATACGCTGCCGCCACCGCCGCCCCCGGCACAGCTGCCAGCACGACTGCCGCCGCCGCCCCGACCGCTACCGCCGCCGATGCCGGACTGCCCGCCGCCCCCGGGGGTGGGTGGGAACCCCCGCCGCCGCCGGTAACTGCAGCAGCATCCGCTGGAAAAAGATTTTCATGGAAATTGTGGCGGCTTACAGCGGGTGTGGATGCGACTCGGACTCAAGTGGACTGCATGGGTCGTCGGATACGCGTCGGACTGCATGGGTCGTCGGATAGCAACGATATCCCGAGCCTCGAACAGGCAACAACAAACAAATTGCAGGGTGCTTTCCGCGGCCGCGCAAGCGGCGCGAGCGCAGGTGGCCTCGGATCCAGCCGGGGCGATGCGTGCAGCCGCCGTGATGCGGGTGGTGCGGCACTGCTACCGGCGTCCCGTGCAGCACCTGCCGGGCCCCGGGTCCCGTATAGGTACTCGAGTAGGCTCGCGGGCTCGCCGGACGGCGAGAGATTCTACTCTACGACACTGGCCGGGCACTCTCTGACGCGAAATGCGATGGGAGTCATCTCGTTTTCTTTTAAATGCGTGACTCAATTGGGGCGCTGTCCGCGCCCTTTCGCTCCTTCCCGAACATAATGCGCAAGCTGTGGGCCCTTCTCGTTTGCTCCGTGGCTGCTGACATCTGCAGCCTCGGCGGAGGAGTACGCGTCAGCAGTCGTTGCTGGTTTCTGACCAACATCTCAAGGGCCTCCGAATCCTGCATAGACGTTTGCGGCGGCATCGAGTTCGTGAATGTCGAAGTGCTGAGCGACGAGGTGAATGTCGAAGTGCTTTCTGGGGTGAGCCAGCTGAACCGTTTGAACTCGACACCTACCAAAGATCAAACGCACTGCAACAGCGGTCAGATGATTGCATTTGTCGGCCCTATCGGCTGGGTGTGCCTTCCGAGAAACTACGAGCAACACGACGCGAGAGTGATTTGCACCTGTCGTTTCCCACCGCCACAAGCACCGCCCCCTCCTCCTCCTGCCCTCCCGTCATCTCCGCCTCCTTCACCAACACAACACGAGCGGCGGCTTCGAGGGATCGGTTCTGTTGTGGCAAGGCTGGCCGCCCCCTTGGCTATGGACTGGCTCACCCGGGGCTACCCGCCGCCGCCGCCCAAACCACCACCAAGTCCGCCGCCGCCGCCCCCACCACCACCAAGTCCGTCGCCGCCGCCCCCACCACCACCAAGTCCGTCGCCGCCGCCCCCACCACCACCAAATCCGTCGCCGCCGCCGCCAAATTACTTCCAGCTTGTGACGATGTCAAGCTTGCAAGACCGCATATCGCACCATGCGAAAAGGCCTCACCTGGGCTACCCGGTCATACAGTTCTTTCTTTTTCATTGGGTGCTCATCTTCTCAATTGGACCAAAAAACCCCGCGGGGCTTTTGGTCGCAGCTCCTCTTGCACTAGAAGATGTGCTCCATCCAAGTGCGGAGCGCAAAGCGATGCTTTACAAAACTCCCTCGCACATTGAGAGAAAAGGAGCAAATCCCACACTTGGATGTTTTTGTGTGAACTCAGGGCCTGAAGTTCTTTTTTCTCAGGCATCGCGATATAGGGAATCCCGACGCCAGCCAAGACCGTGAGCATGTAACATACGCTACCAGGTCACAGTATCATATGCACAAAAAATGGATACGCTTGGGCACTAGTGGTGAAAAGCGTCGGCGGGCGAATTTGAGGCCGTTCCTACTTTCCGCTCCATCCAATATACAATAAATACCCCCAAGGCGCGAGACACACACAACGGGCGAATTTGCGGCGAGAAAAACGTGCGCTCGGGAGTGCTAAAGAAAGCCTGGGCGGGCAAGCTGCTTTGATTTATTTCGGCCAGAATCTACGATAGGTAGGTAGGTAGGTAGGTAGGTAGGTCGGTAGGTAGCGGAGCGCGCGACGCTGAAGGGAGTGAAACGTGTTTTGGCTAAAGCCGTACGAGGCTCTACATCGTTTCATTGAGAGAATTTTACAAAAGAATTCAAAAGAATTTAAACAAAACAACTCTCTCTCACAGCAGATACAGGCTCGACACAGAAGAATTTTACAAGAATCAATCTTCTTGGGCAGCAGCTGGTTCGACAGGTCCTCTCCGTGGCCAAGGCAGCCGTACTCGCCCTTGCCCCAGGTAAAGACGGCGCCGTCGGCGGTGGTAGCGAGGCTGTCGCCGCTTGCCACCGACACAGCGACGACGCGCTGGCCAGCAAAGGCCTCGACCTTCTTCGGCAGCAGCTGACTCTGCTCGTCGCCGTGGCCTAGCTGGCCATCCCCTCCAAAGCCGCAGCTCCAGAGGGCGCCGTCGGCGGTGAGGGCGATGCTGTGGTACCATCCAGCCGACACAGCGACGACATGCTGGCCAGCAAAGGCCTCGACCTTCTTGGGCAGCGGCTGGCGCTGCTCGTTGCCGTGGCCCAACCGGCCATAGGCTTCACAGCCCCAGCTCCAGACGGCTCCGTCAGCGGTGAGCCTAAGCCTCCATTGCCCCAGCTCCAGAGAGCGCCGTCGGCGGTGAGGGCGAGGCTGTGGATAGGCCCTGCCGACACGGCGATGACACGCTGGTCAGCAAAGGCCTCGACCTTCTTTGGCAGCAGTTGGTCCTGCTTGTCGCCGTGGCCCAACTGGCCGCAGTCTCCACAACCCCAGCTCCAGACGGCACCATTGGCGGTGATGGCGAGGTTGTGGTACCATCCAGCCGAGACTGCGACGACGCGCTGGCCAGCCAAGGCCTCGACCTTCTTGGGCAGCAGCTGGTGCTGCCTGCCGCCGTGGCCCAGCTGGCCATTGGCTCCATTGCCCCAGCTCCAGACAGCGCCGTCGGCGGTCAGGGCGAGGCTGTGGTAGACTGCAGCCGACACACTCACGGCACGCTCGCCGCCCACCGGAGAGGGGAGGCGGGTCGGTGTGTTGAGCCGCGGCACGCCCTCGCCGTGGCCAAGGAGGCCTAGGACGTGATCCGGCGCAGAGCCACACGACGAGAGCCGCCCCTCGCCGTCGATGAAAAGGCTGTGCCGAATGCCTCCAGCCGCCCTCGCCGGCGGGTTGGCCTCACCCAGCAGCGCAGCGAAGCACAGCCACCGGACGGCGCAGCCCTCGCCCTCTGGCAGCGCCGGCAGCTCCAAGCCGCGCTCTTGCGCCCACGAGCAGATAGCCTCCACCGCAAGCGAGGCGTGGAAGAGGAGCGAGACGGCGGCGACGCGAGCGATGTCGGCGGGGTCGCAGCGAGAGAGGGCGCGCACGAGGAGCTCCGAGGGCAGGTCGAGGAGGCGGGCGGGCGGCGGCGTGCTCGGCGAGGGGGCGGTGGTGGCGGAGGGGGCGAGGCGGCGCGAGCGGCGGCGCGGCGGGGCAGACATCGCGAGAAGAAGAAAACCCCGGCGGGGGGACCGAGCACAGATACGTTAGTCTGGCCGACACCGACGGCGCCATGCTGGCTGCGGCTGAGGAGACGGGCCGAGTAGAGGGGGCGTTCTGCAGTTAAGGGGGGAAACCCGGTACACGGAGCCCTCTCGGAGACCCGTGTTTATTTTACGGCCCTTTCCCTGCGAACGCGCACCCCCGACCCTAGCTCAGCCCTAGCTAGGGGTCAGGGCTCTCTAGCCCGTAGCCCGATGCCGATCATCCGGCTCGCTGGGTGCGCTTCTTAGCTCCCCGGCCCTGGATGTGAGGTTAATGACTGCACTCCAAGTGCTCCAAGGGCTGATGATGTGGTTGCACTCCAAGCTCCAAGGGCGTGTGTTCTTCATCTTTCTGCCTAACCTAGCCTATGTAACTGGCACTACAACGGACGGTGCCGTCAGCGGCGAGGGCAATGCTGTGGCCGCCTCTTGCCGACACGCTCACAGCGCTCGCCGCCCAGCGATGGGAGGCGGGTCGGCGTCTTAAGCTGCGCCACGCCCTCGCTAAGCCACTGCGGTAGGCCTTACCCGTATTTCCCCAGGACTGAAAAATAGTAGTGTTTAGTGGCCTTGTGCAATAGTGTCCGTGAGCAATCTAGCAGACGAAGTCCTTCGCGTGGCTGACGAAGAGCTCCATGCGGGCAATCTTGGGCAGATAGAGCATCCCGTCCTCGGGAATCGTCATTGTTAGTGCCACTATCTCGTCGACCATACCCGTCTTGTTTGCAGGGATGGTGCGGTAAGGGCCGCGGACTTTTGCCAAGACGATGTTGTCGCTCTGGAACCATGTCACCTCGGGCGCCGCGGTGACCTGCGAGCGCCCGTCCATGTTCTTGAAGAAGGCACACAGTGAAGAGAGGCCGTTATGAATTCCGGTGAGAAACCCGCACGGGCCTCCGGTGTAATCCACGACTACGTCGTCAACAAAATAGTCGTTGAAAAACTGCACACACTGCTTCTCCGGCAAGTCGAACTTTTTCTGATCGATGCCCCAATAAAACGCGCCCTGAGCAGTCTGCATCTCTGGGCTGGCCTCGGCCAGGGACACGAACGGCGCGCGATACGCGGTATTGTCGTGCTGCGGGGCTGTGGCGGAGGCGGCAAAGACGCAGACTCCCACGAGCACGCCGACTGCTGTGACGGGAAGGTAGGTGCGCAGCGGCGAGTTGGGCCTGGCGTCGGGGTCGGGGTCGGGGCGCACGTAGTCCGTGGAGTGGGGCATGACTGCCACCAAGAGAGGCACCGCGAGAGTTGGTTGGTTGTGTATTGGAAACAGCCGGCCGGGCCCTAGTCGAAGTGGATTCGGGCTGGGTAAATAAATAAAAACGGACACCTCTCTACTGTGAGATGGGTAAAAAGGAACAGGCTGGGTGGGGTATCGAATCCATCAAAAAATTCGGGGGCACGTGTTCGCTGCAAAGCATGCGGTGAAGAAGAAGAAGAGAGAGAGTGCGTGCGATTACTCACGTACTTACGTACCCGCAGAAGCAGGAGCGCGCTCCCTGTACATGGCGCGCTGCGCTGACCGCTGAGAGAGACTCTCAGTGCGGCGAGCGAGCAGGACGTGGGGCGCTGCCCCTCACTCATACCCGCTCAGCCACCTCCGCCCGGGCCACCGCCCCCTTCAGCTCCGCCACCTGGTCGAGCGCGTCGCCGAGCAGCCCCTTGGCCACGCCGAGGTCGCGCAGCTGCTCTACGCCGCCGCTCGCGCGCACCTCGGCGGCGTTGTCGGCCACGTAGCGGCGGCACTGCGCGAGGAGCCGCCCGTCGCCCGTCATGTGCGCCGCCTCGAGCAGCGGCACGGCACTTGCCGGCCCGACGCTCTCCTGCAGCGCCTGCGCGCAGAGCAGCTCGAGGCGAGGCACCTGGTACATCTGCGCCAGCTGCCGCAGGTCGAGCGCGCGCTGCGCTCTGCCGCCCTCCTCCTCGCCGAGGTCGAGCTGGTCGGTGAGGAGGTAGCGGATGAGGGCGGTGAAGGTGGCGAGGTCGGTTTCGAGCACCGTGACCTCGGCGGCGTCGCGCTCCTTCATGCCGATGCCAAACATGGTCCGAAACTGCTCGGACCGAACGCAGAGCAGGTTCTTGCTCACGCTCTCGATGCGCTCCTCGTCATCGCCGACGAGGAAGGTGACTGGGCCGTGGGGGAGAGTGGCGTCGCCCCACATCTTTCCGAGGTCGGCCACGAGGGTCGAGGGCGGCACCACAATCGGCGCGAAGGAGGGAGGAGGCGCCGACACGCAGACCTGGCGGAGAGAGTTGCTCGTGCAAACCAGAAGAGCGCTGCCGTCGGTGCTGATGGCGATGTCGTATGGATTGTTGAACTGCGCCGCGCCGCCCACGCCATCGGCATCGCCATTCTCGCCGCTGCCCGCCACCTCGCCACCTCCACCCGCCGGATCTTGCGGTTGGCTTCGTCCGCAAGAAACAGCGCGCTGCCGTCCGGGCTGATGGCGACGCCGTTTGGGTAGTGGAACTGCGCCGCGCCGCCCACGCCGTCAGCACTGCCCGCGGTGCTGCTGCCCGCCACCGTCGCCACCGCACCCGTCGCCACCTCCACCCGGCGGATCTTGTGGTTGAGGTGGTCCGCAACAAACAGAGCGCTGCCGCCTGGGCTGATGGCGACGCCGTGTGGGTAGTAGAACTGCGCCATGCCGCCCACGCCATCAGCGCTTCCCGCGGTGCCGCTGCCCGCCACCGTGGTCACCGCGCCAGTCGCCACCTCCACGCGGCGGATCTTGTGGTTGCCCCACTCCGACACAAACAACGTGCTTCCGTCGGTGCTGATGGCGATGTCGTATGGATTGGCGAACTGCGCCGCGCCACCCACGCCGTCAGCACTGCCCTCGGTGCCACTGCCCGCAAGCGTGGTCACCGAGCCCGTCGCCACCTCGACCCGCCGGATCTTGCGGCCGCCAAAGTCCGCCGCAAACAGCGCGCTGCCGTCCGGGCTAATGGCGATGCCGCGGAGGCAGGCGTTCTCCACGGTTGCCACGCGGCGCACGCGCCCGGCCGCAGAGACGTGCAGCACTGAGTCAGGAGTGGTGACGTACCAGGCGCCAGCGCGATCGCTCACGACGCCTTTCACGTCGTCCAATGCAAGAGGGCCGTCCTCGCCCTCGAGCGGCAGCGTGGTGACCTGGCCGACGGCGCGAACAGCACTCCAATGAACGTCCCGATTGCACACAATCGCCCGCACCGCCCCCTCCCACGTTGCGTGCAGGTGCGACCCACACTTGACGAGGTGTTGCCTGCGCGGCGCGACCTCGAGCACGTCAGCCCGTACCTTGTGGGCGAGTTTGATGATGAGGTGCACATCGCCGAGTCCCAGACTTGATGCCGTCTTTTACTTTACTTTACGGGGGGGCGTTGTAAGGTAAGGTAAGGTAAGGTAAACTTATCCACACACACGAGGTGGTGGGGCAAGGGGGGGCAACCCTCGCGTCTCCACGTCTGACGACAGGAGCCCCACGGCATTCAAAGTGCAAGGCCCAGTGCGCGTGGGTGAGCGGTGTGTGTGTGTGTGTGTGTGTGTGTGTGTGTGTGTGTGTGTGTGTGTGTGTGTGTGTGTGTGTGTGTGTGTGTGTGTGTGTGTGTGTGTGTGTGTGTGTGTGTGTGTGTGTGTGTGTGTGTGTGTCACGTCACTGCATCCTCCGCCGGTTCCTCCCGTCGCCTCTTCTTTGTTCGAATGTTTTTCAATCCATCCTTCACGAAGCCCTCCCATGTAGCTGGGGCGTTGTGTGTGAAAAGCTCTCTGTAGAAACACGATCAGTGGCGCGCCATATTACCCATAGTCACAATAGTGTGTAAGGACAGCGACCGACTACACTTGACTTGACGACATTGATTGCACATACGTCGGTCGATAGAGAGAGAGACTCTGCGAGCGAGACGTGTGTCACGGAAGGATCGAACGCGCACGCGACGGAATCTCACCCATGTCTCCTACCTCTATGCAGGGGCGGCGTCCCGCGCCCTCAGAGCGGCAGGGTCGACGGCAGTCACGCAGGGGGGCAGACCTGAGGCAGACACGTAGTCGGCTGGTCGACGCCGACAGTCCTCAGTGCTCTATAATGAACATCGGAGGGCGCGAAGTGCGTCGGCTTCGGGGGCTCCGAGTACTCGATTTCGGTGCGCATTGGGGCTGCGCTGCTTGCTGTCTCATTCAGAGCCAACGAGGGACTCGCGTGCAGTATTCCGTGTACTTGTCCGCAAAGAGCCCAACCAAGAACTTCTCCTCCTTCGGAATCACGACGTTGTGGATGTAGAGCGGCACCTGCGCGACTCGAAACGGGCGTTCAAATCGTGGTATGCGACCGCGAGCGCCCTCGTGACGCACCAGCATCATTGACAGGAGCATCCACACCGAGTCGGAGAGAACCGTGCACGCGGGAATCATGCAGAAGAAGCCCAGGTACATCGGGTTGCGCGAGACCGAGTAGGGGCCGTTGGTCGCTAGGCCGCGAACCTCCGTGAAGAAGGCCTTGGTGTTGTGCTCCTCTAGAGCATCTTCGCAACGCTACAAGTGCAAAGGGAGAGGAATGAATGACCGGACTCGAGTGGCAGGGGCTTGGCTGCGAAAGGCGAGCCTTGAAGACCATGAGCATGGCCTCAAGTCCGACGACGAAGCCGCCGATGCGGTAGCTGATGGTTGCGACCGAGCTCGGCAAGAAGGTCCACTGCCCCAGAGCGAGACGGAGAGAGACGCCAAGAGTCGCGCCCAGCATGAGCGCTGCGGCGGCGGGGGGCCGGTGAGGCGTGCGCACCAAGGAGTGCTGCCAGTGCGAGAGGGATATGGCGGGCGGCGCAAGCGACCGAATGGTGGGAAGATGGGGATGTCTCCGCCGATGCCCACGTTGAGCTGGTTCTTGCTCTCAGCAATGCGCTTCTTGGCGAAGACGCGGTGCGCCACGAGGAACGGGAGCTTGAGGAAGAGTAGCTCGCCGCAGACGCCGAAGAGCTCGCCCTTTGCCGGCTGGCGCTTGGGAGAGGAGTACTGGTCCGACTTGTCCTGCTCGCCGGGGCGGCGCGCCCGTGGAACGTCCTCGCCCGCCGCGGGGAGCGAGATGCGGTTGCTCTGCGTGATCGTCTTGACGATGGCCATCGTCGGGCTCGGCTGCTGGGATCAGGGGGCTCAGCGGCAAAGGATGAGATGATGAAGTACCCCCGAAGTTTCGATCAATTGCGGCGCGGCTTTCGAACGTCGGGGATTGGTTGCCGGCCTCTCCCCTGGAAGCTCCGGTCTACGACTACTCGTAGTATATGGAGCTTTGAGCGCAGAAAAAGAAAGCGAAACGGCTACTCAATTAGTTTATTACCTGCTTTACGACGAGAGTGGGACGACCGCGAGGTGGCATGAAGGTTGCAGCGAGAAGCGGCGAGAGACTGCGAAGAGAGATAGGAAGAGGCAGACTCCCTAGGGTGGGCGAAGGCTAGCGCACCACACACCTCTCCTTAAAATCCCTGTGTGGTGGCGGCGTGCCGTCCTCCCATCCCTCCCTTGGGTTGTCTGTTTTCTTTCTTTCTTTTTACCTGCTTTATTCGTTATGTCCCTTTGCGTTCAGCCAGAGAGCGCTGGGGGGGGAGAGAAGCACGCCCCCCCCCCCCCCTGCCTGGAAGCGATGTGCGCCTGCTCTGTGTGGTGGCGGCGTGCCGCGTCCTCCCATCCCCTCCCTTGGGTTCTCTGTTTCCTTTCTTTTCGGCTTGTATTATTAACAACGAAGGCGCTCTCAAAATGAATTTTACCTTCTCCCTCGCACGACACTGGGCACGGGACTGGCGCGCACTGGCACTAACACAGGTACACCACGGGCTGAACGGGAGCCGCACCTAAACGGACTCCACTGCGAGGACGGCGAGGCACTTTAGCTCCGTGCACTCGACCGCCCCCCTCGCCGCAGGCAAGCTCATGGAAAAAGAATTTTGCCAAAATGAATTTACGGCGAAATTTTACCACTCACGACACATGGCACGCGCGCACTGGCACGAAGAAAACGGGCTGCGCATAGTCGACGCAACCCTTCCTCTCCCTTTTCCTCTAGCGGCGCTCCAACACACCGCCGGGGTACGCGTAACCGAGCTGAGCCCCGATCGCGCGGAGTCGGTGGGCCACGCGTGGCGAGCCCTCCAGGGCGGCCATGAGGTGCGTCTTGTTGCGCCACGGCTCGCTCGCCTCGCGCGCGGCGTCGTTCACGTGCTCGTTGGCCACCCGCTGTTGCAGGGTCCAGCGGGCCACGTCGTGCCGCGCAAAGGCCGACAGCAGGGGCGAGCCCGGCCTCGTGCAGGCCGACCCCACCCCCGTCGCCGCGGCGAACCGGCGCATCCGAGAGTCGAAGTCCTCGCGCGAGTCCATCCGCATCGTGAGCACATCGGGCCGCTCGCTAAGCATGCGGTGGTTGTAGGCCATCAGCTGAAGCTGCCCGTCGAGCGCAAGCTTCGCCACGTGCAGCACCCCCTCTCGCGGCGGCGCCCTCTGCAGCACCTCCCACGCGTGCGCGTACCTCGGATTGCGATCGCGCTCCTGGCCTGCGCGGTGGTGCAGGTAATACGAGATGACGAGCGCAAAGGGCTCTCGAATCATGTGCACCAGCGGCCGCGCGCGCGCTGGCCGCAAGTAGCGCCGCAGCCAGCGGACAAACGTGGAGTTTTTGGGCTGGCGGAAGTCCCTGGCTGTGAAGGCGGGTTCGGCGATGTGGGTGTTGTGCGCTTGAGCATCGAGCGTGCCGCCCGCAGCTGCCGCCTCGAGGTACTGGTCGAGGCAGAGCCGGCGTGTGTCGCATGGCGGTGGTCGGCCGCCCGCTGGCGCAGGTCCCGGTGTGCCGTACTGCCCAAGTCCGTACGGAAGCCCTGGTGCCGCAGGCCACGCGGTTCGCGCCAATCCACAGACCGACTCAAGCTCCTCCTGGAGTCGGCGGGAGAGGACCGTGCCCGTCTTGTGGTAGGTTAGGACGAGCGCGTGGGTGTTGTGGCAGCCACACTGCTGTGCTCGTGGCGGACAGCTCGTGGACGCCGCGTCCGACCTGTCCATGGCACAACCGGCTCTCGCGCGCCGGCCCGTGCGCCGTGTTTATGTCGCCGGCGGGCGCTTGGACTGATTCGCTGTGAATAGGACGTATTTTCATTTCAATAACAAGGCTGTGAAGGACGCATTTTCTTCTCAATAACAGGTCTGTGAAAGACGATGCAGTCGTACAGTGGGATGCGGGCATTAAGAAAACAGGATTACGCGGCACGCCGCCTTTCTAAGCCGCGATGCGCTCCCACTCCCGCCCGTTCCCCTGTACCCCTGATCGTCCGTCCAAGACCGTTGCAAATCTTGACTTCTTTCTTCGGCGACCTTTTTCTCCTTTAAACTTGTGGTTGAATATGTCTGTATCTAAGGAGACGGTTCAACTTTGGTGGGGGGAGCCGCTGCCCCACTTCCGACCAAGCCGTCAGGAGCCAGCACTAGCATAGCAAGAGGACGTGCCCTCGCCGAGTCAAACCAGCGGTCGATGGAGGCGCGGCCCACCCCGGCAGTGAATCTGCTGACCGGCAAGTCGTACCCGCACCACCCCGTGATGATGCAGGTCGACCTCGGCCCATTCCCTGTTGAGAAGGACACCCTGATTGAGTGGAACGGACTGCGCGTGCCGGCACATTTGGACTGCGACATCTTCAACAACAACACGGCTTGGGGCAACCACTTCTACTTTTCCGAGCAGGCCTCTCGCTGGATTACCTGCTGGGAGCACCACTCCGCAGTGCGGTCTGGCCTTCGTGCTACGTTGAAGCAACTACCTGTTGTCGACGAGGAGTACAGCGAACTGGTTGCCACCTTCGAATCTGTCATGCGCGCAAGGCCGAGCCAGCCTTATGTGGTGGCCGAGCTGGGCGCGCGCTGGGGAACGTGGGGCGCGCGCGCGGTAGCCTTCCTTCGCCATCGCCGCCCGGAGCTCGACTACCAGATCAACTTAGTCGAGTCCAAACCGCAGTCGTGTCGGGCTATCCACGAAGTGATGGCACTCAACGGCTTCACGAATTACAGCGTCAGCTGCGGCGTCGCAAACAGCAAGGACCTACGTCAGTGGTTGGGGACGGTGTCTCACGTCGACTTGATGGACTTTGACGTCCAGGGTGCAGAGCACCCGCTGATACGCAACACGATCTCAGCGATAGAGGCAAAGGCTTACCGACTCGTCATCGGAACTCACTTGGGGCCCAGCAAGCACGAGGAGTTGAAGAAGTATTTGCTCAATCGCGGTTGGCTTCTCGTCTCCGAGATGAAGCACTCCCAGCCTGAGCACAGAGACTGCATTGAGTTTGCTTTCCGCGGCCGCAGCCAAACACGCCGTCAATGGCGCTTTGAAGCCGCCAGGCGCACGGTCTTTGACTGGGAGCGGGTTTTGCGCGAGGGCTGCTACACCGAGACAGAGCGGGGACCCGTGTGTCAGAGCGACGGTGAGCTAGTGTTTGACAATGCGCGGTTTGTATCCCACTTACCGAGGTCATAAATATACCAGGTGTTGGCAGTATCTGCAATGCGCTGCATCGGAGCTTTCGTTTGAGGAGGTTGGCAAATATACCTGTGCACGGCGAGGGAGAAATGAGGTTGCATGCTCTGCCAGCTGCTGATGGCGAGGCGTAGCACCAGACGGGCTGATGCGGCTCGTTCCCATCAGCGATGGCGGAGGTGGGGGAACTCGGCCGGGCACAAGAAGCCAGAGGAGTTTGTGTCGCCAGAGGGCTGGCTGGGAGCCAAGTCGGAGGGCTCGGCTGTGCCAGTCGACTCTGCACACCGCGACGAGACGTCGACGTACTGCGTGAGGCGGTACTGATCTGTCCGGTAGACAGAGGAAGCTGCGACCCCGCCGAGTAGACAAAAGTGTCGCCGCCGAAGGCGACTCAACGCCGCTGAGATCGGAGATCAAGCTCTTGACAGGTCGCACGTCGCTACTTTGACGCCGACGTGACTCGCCCGTGCAGAGCACATCAGGACACGGTCTCGACGCGCTCGGTACGACGCCTGCGACCCGTCTCGGGTCAGGTGGCACGACGCTCATATCGCCTGCCAGCGCTGCCGTGCAGGTTGCCACGACGAGGTCGAGCACGCTTCTATACGCTCGCCGAGCCTTCCTTTCCATCCCATTAGGCAGCCTGGGAACGGTGGCGGTCAGAGGCAAAGCCTGCGAGGGTGGTGGAACCACATGTCACGGCCACCGCCGGCTCGACGCAACGATACATAGCCTCCGGAGGCTGACTTTGAGGCACCATCATCGGACGATGTCGACGAGTTGGGTCGCTCTCGCGGTAGCCAGATGACCCTCCCATGCTAGTACCATCGGCTAGGGCCGCAGGAAGCGCGGGGGAGGGCGCTGGGAGCAACACAGCTCCGTTGGACGTTTTCAAGATTAGCGTGTGTCAGAGACAGAGATCAGAGTGAAATGGAACTAGCCATAGCGTCGGGTACACGTCGAGCAGCTCGAATGTCATGACGACACATGTGCGCAAAGTGCATGTGCATGTCAGGGCTCTGTTCTCTATGCGAGCACACGCTCTTTAAGGGGCCCTCAAAATTCATGTGGGGGAGACGATGTCTGTTCTCACGGCCCCTCGAGAGGGTAGCTGCCTTTGCTCGGCCCGACCGCCTCCTCCATCCGGCCATACCACCGCGCCAGCTCCGGCGCGTCGTCTAGGATCTCCGCGTGCGCCGCGGTCCGGTCGATGGCACGCAGGCAGCCGTACCTGGAGGGTTCGAGATATGGGGAGATATGGGGAGATATGGGGAGATATGGGGAGATATGGGGAGATATGGCACGCAGGCAGCCGTACCTGGAGGGTTCGAGACGGGAGGGGGGTAGGGTAGGGTAGCATCGCGGCATCTGTGTAGACGTTTTACCACGCCCACCTTGGCCCTCGGCGCCGTGGTCATTGCCTTGACGGCGGCCGCCGCAGCTGCTGCCGCCGGCCGGGTCCAGTGGGGGCACACAGCACCCTGCGACCCTCAACCGCCGTCGCGGGGTGCTGAGCCTCCACCGACTAGGCCCGGCGCCAGTCAGAAGCCGGAGGGCAACGGCCGCTCACGCTACTCGCCCAGGCAGTGCAGCGAGTGGGCTGGCCGCGGCGAGTGCGAGAGGAATGCGGGCTTCATGACGACGCACTGCGCGCCTTGGTGTGCGACGGATGTCAGCCCACGGTG